GGCGCATCCCTTTCCCGCTATTTTAAAACTGGGTCCGGTCTCTCCCATGCCTTTGATATAACAGAACTTGCGGCGGCTGGCTGTGCCTACAGTCTGACCGCGCGGAGCAATAGCTGGCGTCTGTTACTCACCGCATCGGCCCCCTCCGGGTAACTAGGTGCTCCGCCATTCTGGTGTCCTCCTTCGTCCCGCTGTTGGAGGATGTCCTCCAAGCCTTCTTGGCCTCCGCCGCGCGATTGCTCGCGCTCTGCCATCACTTCGCTGTTACTGGAGACCGATATGCCAGCAACGTCAAATCGCCTTATCTACTTTACTATTGAGCTGGGTCCCGAATACAAAGTAAATCACTATTTAAACAATTCAAAATCCCCAACAGACGACGTTCTGACTTGCGCTTGCTTGCACGGTTGACTGGCGAACTAGCGTTGTCTGGATTCAGCGCTTTGTTCCCAGCTAATCTTTGTAACGCACTACCGTATCAGTCACTGTCCTCTGGCCAATTCCGGTCTGCTCCTCCCGCGCCGCACTTGCCGTACTACACTACAGGACGAGCACTTAATCAACATGCAATGTCGCCGTAGGGCTGCATGTACCATCAAAATTTGCTGTACATCCAGTCCTTGTGAGCAGGGCAGCCTCCAAGGGCTGCTGCGGTATGTGTTACAATCGCACTTATTTAAGAACCTCTCCACTTGTGTGGCGGGACCGAAAGACTCCGAGTGATGGGCCGTCTTATCGACCGCTCACCGACGGAAGTACGGCAAAGCGCATTAGATTAAGCGAAGGCCTTATGGCGAATACCGAATTACACCGACGAACGATAACGAATAAGCGAATGAGAGTAATGTAACGACCCATGCTCGTTACAGGATATGAACGCGCGCATGGCGCATCCCGAAAAACGGACCAGTTTCCTGACTGCACCTATATCCAGGCATGTGAGAAGCGGACATCTGAACTCCAACATCCGCCTGGAGTCTAACTTTGGCATCCAGGGATGAGATGCCTGCGGCTCTACCAAGCTTCACTTCCAGGAACAACACCGTCAGACGGTTTCAAATGAAAACAGCTGTCGGCAAGTGCAGGAGGATTGACAACTGGAGGGCAGGTTGTCGATGGACGATGAGTTGAAGATATATCCAATTGTTAATCTGCCTGGTACACCTTGGAAACCCTATGAACTGCATTCGACCTGTCCCTGCGTAGACGATTCAACCAAATGATGCAAGAAGTGAGGCTTTCCCAAAGGACCAAAAGGACAATCAAACTCGATGCCCCACGTATGAGCTGGTTACAATGGGAGAAAGCTCCAGTTCAATAGCGTAAGTCCGCGCCTGTATCGCCTGTACCTTTTGCGATGGCATGAGCGATTAACCTGGTATCCCTGAGCCAAGCCAGCTAAGGAACCTATGAACATGCAAAACATTTGCGACTTTAGTGGCCATAAAGCAGTCATGCAAGTTGTACGACTCATCTGCCGATGGGAAATTGCATTTGAGGGCAAGGAAAGTCTAGTGACCTATGTAAACTGGACTCAGCGCATTCGTATGCCTCCTGAACCATATTTTCAAGCCTTAACACTGATTTGAAACCTGATTCAGGTTCAGAATCAAACAGACCTTCTTACTCTTTGCGTTTCCTCGGAACAAATTTGGCAATGTTTTTTGAATATGGGTTACATAGAGGACCCGAATGGACTGGATGGAGTTGCAGCTTTTCGAGCCCGGTGTCAGTACGTTTAAGGCTGAGGGCGCGGATCTCTGTTTCTTTCCAATCCTGGAAATCTATTGGATATTGGAAGTGCTGAGCGAAGCGGCCTCTTACTGGAGCTGTTTTCAGTTCGGTCGCCAAATAATGCCGATAATGCTGTCCGACCCTCCTATCAACGATGAGGACAGTGTTAGCTGCGCGTATCATATAGCTTACTGGCCGCCATGGGCAGAGCTCGGCTTCCCCGTAAATACTGCAGTATTTGTTGCTCTAGGAGGCGTATTCCGGTTCATGATCTCAAGGTCTGGATCGGCCCTGCTCGTTCCAACATTGCCAATTGCGCTTGGGAGGACGACCTCCGTTAGGGTCAACCTAGGCCCCTGCGGACGCAGATAAAGCTGGGCGGCGCCTAGCTCCTGGCCATGCCTGGTGATATGGGGTCCCGGACTCCGGCGCCTCGTGTCATGTAAGGAGCGGCTCCCAAGCATTCCTGCGCCTGCTCCCAGACCTTGGCGCTCTATGCAGCGACGAGATGTCACTTAATGACCGTAAGGGCTGTGCTTGCTTATGATAATAGCTGTGTCTCTCAAGAGGTGCTGTCCGAAACACGCTTCAGCACCTCACAGGGGGTTGCGAAACGCCACGAAGGAGTGATCTGTCGTGGATTCCCGACGTATCCGGTGTCGAGTGCGCATGCACGAAGCTGCCTCTGGTTAAAGGCTTAAGGAATTAAGACAATGAACCTTCCTTGTGGAAGGCGTATGGATTAGCCACCGCGTTGACTCCGCTTCATGATCTAGGCTCATCTACAGTCGATAAAGTTTCTTCATGGTGCAGATATGATCGTCTACGGTACGTTCGGTAACATGTGGTTTATCGCTTGCGGCAACGTTTTCATGCCGTACGGCGCATTCTTCCCATGAGAAAGTTTGCCTACAGATTTCGTGATAATAATCTCTAATCGTGTCCAAATGAACGTTAAATGGTTTTTAATGCCCGCGGGTGGACTTCCACGTGCTCGGAGCCACAAACCAGATAACCCATAACCGAAGCTGATGCCGCGATCAGACGTCGGCAACCGCAGTTTTGTGGTCTTGGGAACGTTTAGGACGCCTGTTTTACTGCAACCCAAATTTTTTCTTTTCGGCACCAAATTTGGTCGTGTCAAAGACGTCATTGAATCAAACGGCCCTACGGGCCGCATATGAGGCCTTTACTGCCTTTGGATAACGTATGTGTATGTGCGATGTACCAGTTTTACTGCTGGCTGCGAGGTTTGGGAGCTTTTTTACGGTCTTGGGAAAATTGGTACGATCCGAGGGTGCGCCTAAGAGCTGCCGATGTCTGGCCGCGATGTTCATCTACAAAACGCCATGTTGAATTGCTATGTTACGCAAGGCACTTAAAAACAGAAGTATCGAAGGGCAGTGAATGTTTCTATGGGGTCTGACGCGCAGCTATACTACAGTCGTGCCTAGCGACGTAATACCGCATGTTGTAACCTTTCAAACAGCTAAAGGATAACTGTATGCTAGTTCGTTTGTCCAAGGTTTATTGCCTAAAACTTTCAGGTAAGAGGTTTCATTACGTTACGTCCTAACTGTACTGAATGCCCTCCGCACTGGCGATGCACGAGACATCTTTGCTGTTTGTAGATAAGACTATTGAATTGCCGCAATCGTGTTTTCCACAATAGGATTAACGTGGTGGCATCTGATGCTTTTCATGGGCCGGGCCATGGGGCGGGCCGTGCCGTGCAGATAGGGCCCCTAACGATGGGGTAGAGGAAACAAACGATGCTCAAAGAACCATTAAAAATTTCATTGGACGTGAGTATTATCTTAAGTGATACCAACATGTTGCAGCAAAGCGTAAAGGCCTTTGTGGGCTTCCGTGGCCTGTTGAGTAAATATGCAGCACCTTACTCGACTCGCCTTTTCTCCACTTCGACTGGATTCAAGACGTAAGGAGATACCTTATTTGCGTGACATCGACAAAATCGTAGATGGCTCACGGAGCGCTTGCTGGCTCACAGGGATGGAACTGGCCGGATCCTGCCGCACGGCGGCGAACTCGTCGACTTGTCAGTAACAGATCCTCAGGAGAAAAAGGAGCTGGCCGCGTCTTGCAAGTTCACGCAAGAGTGCAGTGATCGAAATGCTTGTGATGTCGAGCTCTTGTCTGTGGGTGGTTTCTCGCCGCTTAAGGGATTTATGAACCGTGATGTTTACGATCATGTGGTAGCTAACATGAGGTGGGTTTCAAGTTTGGCAGTTGCAGGTCGCATCGATCGTGTCTGTTGTGAGACTTAGCCTTTTCTTCTTATGTAGGTTGCCCCAAAGCAACCTGATTTTTGGTCTTCCTGTGGTGTTTGACACGGAGAATGAGGCTGTCAAGGAGGGCGATCGGGTAAGGCAACATATAGCCGTAGTCCCGAGCAGTTATCCCGCCTAACGCCGAGATATTTCACTAATCGTACAAATTCAACGTATTGTCCAGGTGCTCCTCAAGTACAAGGGCCAAAATATTGGCGTGCTCGAGGTTGAAAGCAAATGGGTTCCAAACAAGGCGAAGGAGACAAAGGAGTGCTACCGGACGTCCTCTCTGGAACACCCAGGCGTGCAAATGGTGGCGATGGAGCGCGGCAAGTACTATCTTGGCGGCAAAGTCTGGGGCTTGGACATTCCTAAACGGTAAGACGACCTTGTGTGCTTGCTGGTGAAGTGGAAGGGATACGCTAACTTTCGCACGCCCACCCACAGGGAGTTTCCTTGTGCGACCCCACGGGAGGTTCGCGCCCTGCTGCCGGCGCAACAGGATGTGGTCGTGTTTCAGTGCCGGAACCCGGTCCATCGTGCACACTACGAGCTCTTTACCCGGGCTTTGCACGCCCCTAACGTGCGCCCCGGTGCAGTCTGCCTGGTGCACCCCACGGTGGGCCCAACACAGGTACGCTGCTGGTACCAACGTTTTGTGCTGGCATGTGTTCCAATATCCTATTAATGATCTCACCGTTTCCTCAAATGTGAAACTGACCACGTAGGATGATGATATTCCCGGGATCGTGCGGTACCACACCTACGAGGTGCTGAAGGCTGAGTTGCAGAATCCTGCCATCAAGTGGGCCTACTTGCCGTACAGCATGCACATGGCTGGGCCCCGCGAAGCCATCCAGCATATGTTGATCCGCAAGAACTATGGATGCACGCACTTCATTGTCGGTCGCGACATGGCTGGGTCTAAGAGCTGCTTGACAGGTACGCGCACACTGCATGGGCTGTAACTGCCGGTTTTAGTGTTATCGTTGCTCTTTGTGGTGAGGGCATGCTTGGTACTCTTAAGTAGTGAAGTCTTGCACTGAAGAACCCATTACATAGAAAGCGATCGAGTCTTTCGAGGTCTGGGCATCAACAAAACTGGGGGCGGGCACGGCCCTACTCTGGCGATGCAGTGCCGTGGGCTAGCATGCACGTCTCTCAGAGCCGCATGAATGCTTGACGTGTATACACATCTGACCGTATCTCCCCTGCGTGTGCCCCGCTGTTATCCCCCGTGCCTTTTGCAGGTGAAGACTTTTATGGAATTTATGATGCACAGGACTTTGCCAAGAAGCACGCTGAGGAGCTGGGCATGCAAACCGTTCCAAGTGCAGACGTGGTCTACACCGAGGAACGCGGCTACGTTACCGTGGACGAAGCCAAGAAGGATGGGCTTCATGTGCGCAAGCTCAGCGGCACGAAGTTCCGGCAAATGCTTCGCGCTGGCGAGGACATTCCTGAATGGTTCGCCTTCAAATCCGTCGTCAGTGTTCTCCGGGCCCATACGCAGTCATCGTAAAACCCTCAACGAAATTTCAGCCACGGATTTCTCGAACTTTAGGGTGATGCCTTCATGCATGCTTTTGGCTGAGATTGAGCTTTGCTGCTTCTTGGGAGTTTTGGGGTATAAGCATCCTCTGTTTTGCATTACCTTGCACTGCAATAGTACTTGTGAATAGCGACATATGCGATTTTGGTGTCTGCGATTTTTAAGCCTTTGCATTTGGTTAATATCCTTACGTGTCTGCAAGCCGTCCAGCGTGCGTTCACGTTCTGCTTAGGATGTCGACGTTTTTGCGGTTATGCCCGCCGCCTAGCTGACCTGACTGCCTTAAACTGTCTTAGTCCTGACATTGATGACCAATTGATGTCCAGCTTGAGCATTCTGTGATCTCTTTGTTCGCAAGGAATCCTTGTGATAAGGGAAGTGCGTGCCTCCGTTTGAGCACCTAGCGCCTGTAAGTACGACAGGTTTCCGTACTGCTCCATGTCGGTTATCAATCTAATGCGTATGCTGGTGCAAGGCAGGTTAGTATGGGCCTCTGCATATGCATCTAAGGCACATGCACGGAGCCATTCCACTTTTCGCGCATGTGGCCTGTGATGCGGCGAGGGCTAAAAGTTGGGACGTGTAATTGAGTTCAGCAGTTATCCGAAGCCGAGGATGAGCCGAGTGTAAGCCGAGCCGTACAGTTTGCCAGCAGTGGGGGCGGCTCCAAAGGCCATATGATATGTGCATTAAACTAGACAGGACTGGGCTTTTAGTTCCCCAAACATCGCTAAAGAAGCAAGACCAGGAAACCTCTAGCGAGGGGCAAGCAGAGCGAGAAGGCTCTCAGGCATGCTCGGATAAGCTCCTGTGGTGGCCGGTTTGGCCGCCAGCTACCCCCTTCCATCCGCTGCGGCCCAACTAGAATCTTAAACTATCGTGGGTACGCTGTCCTCCAGCATACATATAGTTTCCGTTTCCAAGCTTTCAGCGCACAGCACATACGTGTGAACTAGGCTAGCTCCAGTCCGCTGTGGCTGTACGGCTAGTGACCGACGTAGGCCCTTGTACTGCAGCTTCTGAATTCCAGGGAAGCACGTACGGGTTAAAGTATCTTGCTCCCTTGGTTGCAGAGCATTTCATCAATCAGACCTCTCCTCGCAATCCGTTTCGCAAGGTAGCCTGTTCCCTTCTCCTGTATCGTATCGTATCGCTGCGTACTGACCGTTGTACATGTTGTACTGACCGTTGGCCTGCAGCAGGTCTCATCTCCTGGGCTGCCTTTGCAGTACAAGCTCCACTGTACTTCAAATGGTCGTAGGTCCCATGTTTCGTGACGGAATGAATTATGCTTCCTGCCTCCAGGTAACCCTTTATTGTGATTAGCTTGGCTCATAACCTTGCAAATATTGCATCTAGGGCGCGGAGTGCGGAACAAAGGGACAGTGGGTGATTGGATTCGGTTAACTTCAATATTTTTCGCCTTTAACAATCATCTCCAACACATTTTGGAGGGCAGCTACTACTGCGCGAGTGTTGTGGAAGAAAGGAAAAGGTCGAAACATGTCGGCAGGTGAGGTTGCGAGGACGATTCACGACTGCCCCGCGAGGCTAAATAATAACAGGCATGTTATTTGTAGGAGTAACCCCTTCGCCTGATGAGGTCGCTGCAGCCCTTGGGCAAGTGGCCACAGTAGCTTTGGTACTGGTGGCAATCGTCCTTGCAACACGCATTGCACAGGTAAGTGACGAAGTGATGCAGTTAAAGATGTCCAGAGGATGCCTAGCTGCAGCAAAGCTACCAAGCACACGTCGAGGCCTTTCCATCTCTGCACGTGACAAGCAGCTCAGGGAGTTATTTCATATGTTATGGATATGCTTTGATGTGCGCTTACCGAAGGACGGGGACGTAACCGTTAGGGGTCACGTAACTATGAAGCCGAGTGCTGCCGCGGCCTGTCCCCTGAAATTCCGGTTAGCCCATTTCTCAATTGCTGTGTGCAGGTGTACATGGACAGGAGACAGGTGGCAAAGGTAGATGCGAAATGATGTGACCGAATGCGGAAATCCAACAGCTCGCTGCGCTAAGGCAGGGTGGTTATAAAGGCCTCATGGCGACATTCCACCGCCAAGGGGAACTCGACCTGCTACTCGCTATCCTACCGACCGGCAGGAGGACATTTGCCATGCTGTTGAGCTATGCTGCACAGCCCACTCGACCCAGTTACGCATGAAGCCGCGTTTTCCTTGACATGCTGCACATGTTGCGCAAAGCACCATGCAACATAATGGACCGCGCCATAGCCGTCTTGGTCTCACATGTGTGCGTTTGTGCGGCATGTGGCGACATAAAAAAATTCGTACGGTGCGCAAAGTGCATGCATGACACACGCACACACACCTCCTCCTTCCCCTCCGCAGTTCATATTGCAAGGTGTTCATTTCTTTACAATGCTATCGCATCGGAATTACATCCAGGATTTTTTAACCCCATAACTCCGCAGTTGGGGCTCCAGCGACTCATGTAACCCTTTTCACCTAGGGGCACTTAACGCGGATCCATCATCCACGTCTCTAAATTCGGCAGGTGCGTCTGGAAGCAGTGGAGCTTTCGCAAAAGCGGCTGAAGACTTTGTCCGACCGTAACCGTTTCTACCGCGCCGTCGCCGACACGTCTGCACGAGCGGCAGCAGCAGCAGCAGTGGCAGAAGGTTTCGCTGCGACGGGTTTAACATGGGCGAGCTCACGAAGCGATGATGCAGGAGACTCCCGCAAGCCCAGCTTGGACGGCGACCCTCGGATTCAGCCCATCACCCGCGGGAGCACGGGGGGCAGCGGGACCGGCACCGGCACTTTGTCGCTGTTGGCGGCTGCAGCCAACGTACTCTTAAACCGTCGCCACGGCGGCGCTGCTGCTACTGCTGCCGCCGCCGCCGCCAAGACTTTCCCAACATCATCATCATCATCCCCGGGCGCCACTTCTGGGGTCGTGTCCGCGGCCGCCACCACCAATTTGAGCGCCAGCAGCAGCCGGAACAACTCCTCCACTTTGAATGCCCCCTGGACGGATCGAGCCCCCGACAGCCGTCGCAGCCTCAACGGCCAGCAACACCACCATCACCACCGCTTCCAGCAGCCGCAGCATCAGCTGGGAGGGGCTAGCGACGGCAGCGGGGGCTCCGGCCCGCTGCAGCGCAACAGCAGTGACAGCCGGCTGGTGACGGGCCATGTGCTGGGCAGCGTGCCACCCGACACCATCATCAGCACCCGTCAGGTGGGCACCGCGGCCCGCAGTCTACACCGCCAAAGTTGGTTTACGTGGGCTTCCGTAGTGATGGGAAGATTGGCATGCGCATTTGCATGGGAACATAAATCGTAGAACTGACAATGTGATAAAGCGCCCCCCAAGCCTCCCACTCTGTAACGACATTACACATTGGGATGTTTTGGAGATGTTTGAGTTCGGGGTGGCGCACGGGATAGGCAGTTCGTTTTCCGTTGGGGCAAAAAAGAGCGGATAGATGCGTTCAGGTAGCTGATGTCGATGCTGTATCGCATGGGGCAGCGCGAGCCGACAGTCCAGCTTCCTCAAAGGACAACGTTAGCTTTGCTTTGATTAAGATATAATCCGTGATGCTCATTCTGTATGTATGTCTTCCCACAAAAGCCTGCCTGCACGCAACACCCGGCCCCTCTGCTCTGCTCCCACTCGCCGCTCAGGTCCTTGCGGCGTTCAATTACGACTACTCGGCGCTTCATCGCCGGGAGAGCAGCTACGTAAGCGGGACCGAGAGCTGGCGTGTTCGGACAGGCGGGTGGACATGATCTTAGGGAGCACAGCTTCGGCGCGGCTCTCAGCGTGACCTAGACGGGGGAGGGGGCCCATGCACCCAGACACCAGGCGGCCAACCGCCAGGCGGACAAACAGAAAGAGAGATGACGCGGTCATACACATCTTGTGTGGGTGTCGGAGAACCCCCACGGCTCAGTGCAGACAACTGACGATTTGGAACAGTAGACGGGGGAGCAGTGGAGTGAAGGGCGGGGAGGGGATAAGAGGGTTCTCTCCCTGCTTTTCCGGTCTCCACGAGGTATGCCTCAACACGTCGCCCGGTCACCTAGGTTTCTGAGTTTTCAACCTTTGGGGAATTCCCTTTCCTGGATCATCTTCGGTAGCTCGCCCTCCTGTACCTGCGTGTGTATGCAACAGCTAGACAGTGATCGGGAAACTGGTGGTGGCGATAATGAGCAGTGTTGTAGCGATAGTTGCAGGCTCGGGGGTGCCGTTGCCGAAACACAATGTATTGGCCGTTGCTTCGGATGTATGTAGGATGCATGTAGTTGGCAGTGAGGGCGCCGTCAGCTTCCCTGCATGGGCGGTTTACACCTTCATGGTGGTCGTTGGCCGCGTAGAGGGCGCCCAGGTTCTATTGGCAGGAGGGGCAGGAGCTGATGATGCTGATAGTGAAAGTGCAGCAGCAGAGCCGAAGGGGTGATTGTAAATTGATATATGCACACAACGATATGTCGCTGGCATTTATATGCGTGTGTCGCATGAGTTGCGCGGCAACGACACAGCTAAAGTGAGTCCACCATTATCGCTTCTTAATATATTGGACAGATTTAAAGCAAACGTTGGTCCTCGGCCGCATTGCACTACACTGGCCGGCGGTTTGGCTGTTGTGATTTTGTCCGGCTTCTCGGACTCTTCTGGAATCCCCAGATCCCGCCTTTGGAGCCATATGACACGATTACGTGTGACCTCTGAAGCTCGTTATTATCTGGGCTTAGTTCCCGCGTCTTTGAATCTACATATCCTATCTGGGTCTCTGTCCGTGTCTAGATATATAGAAGATGATCATCGTACTCTGTATGTGTATTCGCGGGAGGTGCGAAGAAGTGCGAGGAGCCCGAAGGTCGTAGTGACTCCCCTCCTTTCTTTGAGGGTGCACCGGAGGGGGTTTCTATGTTGCTTTCTATGAGCCGGCTGGGTGCTATCGCAAAATCCCTAGGCAGCTTTCCGCCGCCCTGCTCCCGTTGCTGATCGCTGACACGCGAACTCAAAACGTGACCAAGCTGTCATGAGCCTGTTTGTTGACTGACTCTGCTGCATGGTTCAGCTGTATGTTGGTGCGTGGATGTTGGGAGCTGGGGGGTTCATGCTGTTGCTGGGTTGCTCGATGTGGCTTTTATGGCCTGAAAAAACGTTGTTTGAAGTCCCGGTATTGCATACATGCTGTCCTGCGTGCGCGCTCTATCCTCACCGGGTGATGATACCACACAGCCGGAAATGCGCGTCTTGGTTGATGGGGCCGTGGCGCTTTATCAACTGCGTGGTGGCGGGTGTGTTCGTTGGGTCATTCGGCCCGGCTTGTCACTTTAGGAGGCCTGGGAAGGAGGCAAGCGTGTCGGTGTCAGCCACATTGGTCGATCCTTCATCGCTAACTTCTGTCTGGTGCTTTGTCGAGCTGTAGCTGCCGAGCAAAGGCTCGTGTATGGTGGTGACCACGAATCTTTCGTTTGTAAGCTATGCCAGGGTTGATGCTTAGGCTAGCACGATAGAGCTGCGGGCTAAATTGCTTCTCTTCATGATTACTGTCTTTGGTGGAAGGTCCTGGTGACTCTGCACAAAGTGGCGTGGTGTTCCGTGTACCATGTTCAGGATCCATTCTGATAGCCGCTCGCCGTGCCCATGAAGAGATAAGAAGAGCCGCGCACTAGGAGGGTGACGAGCTGTGCACCAAGAAACAAGAGGGGCTTGAGTGCACTGGGGATCTGCCTCAGGTGTTTGCCCCCGGTTGTCGTTTTCGTAATGTGTGGATGTTTTTGAGGGCAGTCCCCGCTGCGAAGCGACTGACGAGGGTTTGAGCCCCCTCTGGTTGGTGCCTGCCTAGATAGATTGGTGAGCTGTATTATGTTAAGAACAAACTGTTAATTATTGTACTCACCGGAATATTTCCTACTTTAAAGATATCTTACCAGGGTACCCTAAAATTTCGGTCGTGCCCGAATCCCTCTGATTAACCTATCGGGGCCCTCCCCGAAAACTTCCTTGTCAGCCTGACAGTTTTTCCAGGCACCCCGAAACGGTCTGAAGCGGATTTCGGGGCAAAGCTTAGCTGGATTCTATCGTAATATGCTGGAAAGACGGCTGAATTAACAGGTGTATGACTTTATTTTGGAACACGGCACCTGGGGGCAATCGTTCTGGCAAGGATTTTACCCAAAACCAAGGAGGCGCCGTTCCTCATCCACCTCTGTATCAATCGCCTCCACCACACCTGCCACATCATCATCATTAGGGCTGGGAAAAACACCGTAATCCCATAAAATGGACCGTAATTGCGAAAGGTGTAATGCGCAACGCCGTAAATACCGAAATTTACGGTGGGTTCCGGGGCAAAGTGGACCGTAACGATTTACGGTCCTCGTTGTCGGAGCCAAATCCTTTCTTTTCTTTTATATAACGATATGTAAACTTATTTCATACCTTTTTTCATAGTTTTATCAGGGTTACTTGCACCTAAGCTTGTATTTAGCCGCGATATGGGTGACATCCAGGTGACAGTGGAGGGCCAGCAGCAGCGGGACCACCTTGATAACAGTGGAACTAAGACCCAGGTGCCGCTGCAGCAACAGAATGACACTGAGGAGGACGCCAGCAGCGATGATGACGAAATGCCCCTAGCGGCAATGCGCAGCCCAGGAGGCAGAGGCTGACACTGTTACGCACGTTCGGCCCGTATATATTAGGAGCATCATTCTTGGTTGAGGATTTAGCATATGGCATGATGGCATACAACAGATGCAGTACTCGATGCGCGCGCGGTGCTCCGGTTGAAATGTTTTCGCCTCATTCAGCATTTTTTGGCTGTCTTTTGTGATAATTTAATCATAGGTTAATGTATAATAAGCTTTTTAAGACTATCCCGTAGCTCCAAGGGACGAAATGGCATGTTTCGAGGTGTGGTCGTCGGTATTGGCTCGCACGCTTACGGTCCGACCGTAATTTGGACCTTTTGGTAACCGTAATTGCATTACACCGTAAGGACCGTCATTTTACTGTGTTTTTGGGGGGTCACCGTAATTGCGAAAGGTGTAATGCGCAACTCCGTAAGGACCGTAACCGTAATTCCCAGCCCTAATCATCATCGTCCGTCTCCTCAGACGGGTACACCTCATCATTTGCGACACTCTCGACCTCCTCGTTATCAGAAGGGTAGTAGGCCTCAGCAATTTCACTGCCCACACTGCACTCATCATCACTCTCATCAGGCAGAGCACAGTCGCCCACCTTGGCAATACGGTGCAGGAGCCCATCCGGGTTTTTTTGCAACATACTCCTCAGCAGCTTTAATCACAAGGGGTTTGCATTTCATATCCACGGTTGGACCGAGTAATCCAACACGCATAAGGGAATCAATCGACGGGACAGACAGCCGGTTACGCAGCCTGTTTTTGATAATGCGGTGGACACTAAAGCCACGCTCAACACACGCTGTGTGGGTGGGAAGGACACAAGCGACATACACCAACTGATTCAAGCGCGGAAAGAAGTGGACCCACTGACGCATTCCAGCCCAGGCCCGCTCCCAGGAGGTGCGGCCCAGCTCCAACTGCAAGGCCATCTTAGACTTCATAACTGAAAACTCTTTGTGCAAACCGTCAAGTTCATTGCCATCGAAGGCAAACAGGCGGTTAGGGTTTGCCGAGTGGCAAAAGTGCACTAGCAACTTCACGAACTCCTTACGGCCGTAGCCGCGCCGCTCTTCCTCAGACATATTCACATACGTAGCAGGATCAAAAATACGAAAGCACTTCAGAAGCTCAGTGTCTCCAAAACGTGCATCCAAATGCTTCAAAATTAAACCCACAAACCGACAAGCAAAAGACTGTAACTTTCCCTCATCTAGCGTGCCGGAGACCTTTACACGGTTGGAAACCACAACCCAGGATCGCCCTTGCAGACCACTCTTAAAGCCGGCATAGTGCTTGCCCTTTAAGCGACCAGACGAAAACCCACATGCCTTGAGTAAGCTGTCCTTGGTGTCCGAAAGCGTATCGTGGATTTCATGAGCCTTCAAGCTATCGGCTTGGAAGGCCTTGCTCAACCGCTCACAGGGGGCTAGCAGGTCACGCAGGGCAAACAACGTAGCCAGCATGTACACATTGCTCAGCTGCTCGTGAACTGCTCGCCCTTGCGGCCAGTTCTTTTTGTACTTGTTAAGGAACAAGAGGAGAACGTGGGCGTTCAGGCCAAGAGTCACAACGCACTGCATACGGCTAAACCAGCGGGTGGAGTTGTAGACAGGAAACTTCAACCGTGTGCAGCCCCGCTCAGCAGCAAACTTCTCCCACTTCTCACGCATGGTGGACGAACGGAACAAGTTGTGTACGGACTTTAGCAAGGCATCCATTGCAGACATTTGCTGCAACTCCTCCTTCACATCCCCCATGACCAGAGCTGTGCGGTGAGCGCAGCAATGTATGGCAACCAAATAGCACAGCTTTTGACGCAGGCGCACAGCAACCCCAGAGTTACGGCCCAGATACACGCTTGCCCCATCACTGCCATACCCCACCATCTTCGTCTGATCGAGACGAAGGGCAGCAAGCACAGCTTCAGTGACCAAGTGAATGTTCTCTGCTCCCTTGTCTATGATACGCACAGCACAAAGGTATTGAGTGACAGACATGAAAGTGTCCGTGTTTAGGTAACGTACGTAAAACAAAAGGTGATCTTCTCCCGAAATATCAGTACCACTGTCACACAAAATACTAAAATAAGGGCTTTGCAAGATTTCGGCTATCTGCATGGACAAAACGACCTGACTAAGAGCGCGCAGAGCCTTCATAAAGTAGCGGTGGTGGCTGTACTTGTGGCGTACAACATCGACACGCGCGACCGCCAGAAACAGTAGCAGGCTAGAAAGCTTCAGTGCCGGAATGTGCTCTTTTACCATCCACAGGACGCACAGGATCAACAGCTGCAGAACACTGGCAAGACCGGCTGCGACTTGCTGGGCAGCTACACGTGTGGCTTTGTCAATCGGGCCCTGACCTGTTGCTGCCTTTGCAATACACACCGCCTCAACGTGGCCGACACTCTCATCGTGTTTCTTAAGGTCATTCGAGTCCTTCACGATAGGACTTAACTTAGGGCCACCACCGGACCCCTTGTGCTGCTGACAAATGCTACAGCCGCCAATCGCTTGGCCTTGCTTATTTTTGCCGGTTTGCTGCCACCAGGGGTACTTCTCCACGAAGGCTGCTTGCCCCATGTCAGAGACAGGCGCCTTCGGTAGCTTGCCTGACAAGTCCACCACCTCAGGTGCAGCCGGAGCAGACGGGGGCTGAGCCATAATTGGCTGTCCAGGTGCGGCTGCAGTGTATAATAACAATTGCTGGTTAGTTTTCTGGCTACTTTCTAGTAACGATGCAAGACTGTCGGTCGACAAAACGTTTGAAGATTGCAGCGACCTTATCGAAACTTACAGTCATTGTTCCCTGAAAGATGTTCAGCAACTTTGCCGTTAGCAGCAGGTGTAGAAACGACGGGAGATTTCTCTGCATAGGTGTAAATTCCGCATCAGTTCCCCAGATACTTTCATAGCGCCACTACTATACAACTTGTATGATAGGAACTCACCAGATGCCTTAAAGAAGCCGCGTATTCCGAGGGAGATGCGGGGCACCTTGGTTGGGCGCTCATCATCAGCTGATTCGGGCATGTTTAATTATGGTTAAATATGCTTAGAAGTATGAAAATATGTGCGATACAGCCGCAATGCACATTTGTACTTGTTTGATGGGGTGTTACACTGTGGGCACATTTGTACTTGTTGTTTGACTTTCGACTGGTGACCAAGCGGGCCTTACACTGCAAGCCCGGTTTCCAGGCGCCTTCCGTGCCCGAAAAAATGCAAATTTTCGCTTAGGTATATATTTCAGTTTTCTCCGAAAATGCCTTCAGGAGTTTTCGTTGGGGCCCCCGAAGAAATGCAGCATTTAAAGCAGCTTTAAACGGCTCAAAATCGGTTCGGGATGCTCCGGGGCAAAACGGAAAAATCTCAAAAATGTTCATGTCCGAATCGGGGTGGAAAAAACTAAGATAATCTTACTGCAAGCCGGCAAAAATATTTCGCGATAAACGATTTGTTAGGGCATTCCGCGCGCCAGCCTTTTGTATGGTGAAATCCAGCTGGGATGCCTATCGCGTCGATTCCGCACTCTGAAAAGCTCCGTAATTGTTATTAGCGTTAAGGACGATTGCAGCGCAGCCAAAGCCGTTGGTTAGTGAAGGTTGCTGTCATGCAGTTTTTCATATTTATTGTTCCAGGTTTCTTGCCTCGTGCTAGCTCTTGATGCCAAGCCGTCGAGGATGGGTTGTCCTCGTTAATAAGAATGCAGAGGATTGCTAGGCTTGCTTGGTCGTGCTTATTGGTGTAGTCGGGTGTCTCGATGATTCCTCAACCTCAACCAACACAACGGTTTAAAGATCCATACGACATGCTTGCATGCAATACAATTGAAAGCGGAGACACATCACGTTGCGCACCCTGAGCAGAACTTCTAGCTGTTGTTTCCCCAATTATCTCCCTTGACTTGCGTGTCACATATTTTTGCCATATAATGTCTGATTTTTGTTGCAAGGTTGAAAAATTAAGGATACGGCCGTCCAGTCACCAAGTGCCGCTTTCATCGCGGACCGACCGAAAAACGGGGCTCAGTTGGGGATAATAGAAGAACCTGTAACATATGGCACACGCCCAGCTCAGTTTTCATCTCTTGTGATTGCGTCTTGTGGAAAGTCGTGGCGGCACGACGGCAACGCCGGATTTAGGGGATCCTTTGGTTTAACGTGGTCGTACATAAGGCATTTGAGCCCAGTGGACTTCATGAACGTATAGTGAACATGTGAACATGTGTTGACGCATTCAGGCCTCGCCAGATGGGCACACTAGGCGCCAGCGAGTGAAGCTCCATGGCCTTTTAGTGGAAAGGACGGAAGTTCGTGGGAGGGAGTACTGAAGGCTCCTGCTTCCGCGCTCTCTTCCTTGGCGAAATCGCCAGTAACACAACTGTAAAAGGGGCGATGCTGTCCAGACAGCATCGCCCAGGCCACAATACACGCTACATACCATGGCAATCCGAAACAGCCTTTTCCAGGAACCCCATGCATGCCAAGGCTGTCAACCATAGCTTTGGCTAGTCAAATGTGAACGGACAGTGTCGTTGTCAGACTAAAGTGTCAACCAAGCCTCTTAACATCTACCACATATCAGGATTTTACCTGGTGTCATCCACGACAATGGTATAACTGTGGCGTTGAAAAAACCGTACTTCACAGTCCTGTTGGGAAAGAAATGCCGCTCACTGCCTGCGGATGCACGAAGGCACCTGCCCTATGCGCAGAACGCACCACACTGTGGCGATAATCCTAAGCACCCGCTATTCCACCCCACGCTGCCTGCATGAGCTTTACCAAAAGTCTAGTTCCCAACAGAAGCTGTAATCCCCAGAAACGGCCGCTTCCTGTTGATGCACACATGATACGGCGTCATCGGCACAGCACATCAGGGCGAACACTCTGTGACACAACCCGGGCATAGTAATCCATGCTCCTGTACCCGCACACTCTGTACTCCTCTCTAATTCGGCCCGCACAGGTTTTTTCCCGTAGCCGCCAACGCCCCCTAGTGCTTCGCGTCAGCGGGAGCTGCTGCTTAACTGCAGCAGCCGCCCTTCTTCTTTGCCCCATCGTCGTGCTGCTTGTCGATGACGATTAGGTCCCTGCCCTCGCCAATCTGCAGAAATGGCATCACCGTGGAGTAGCAGGTTTAAGCTGCGCCAAGATTCGCTGACCTATCTGACATAAAAGACATGAGTGGCAAGATATCGCGTGCATGCGTTCTGTACCCACGCCCAAGCCACAACACCCTCCGCAGCCCTATCCCCACCTTTGGTCGGTTGTCTTCACTGTCCAGCACCTTCTTGCTGACGATGTGGTAGATTTCCGTGAGGATCTGCTGAAAAGCCTTCTCTACGTTCGTGGAATCCAGCGCGGAGGTCTCAATGAAGGAGAGCCCCTGGTGATTTACCCCGGGGAAGCTTGGTTAGGCCAACCCGGGCGAGTGCGTACCGTATAGCGTTGCTGTACCGTACCTCGCGCTCACAGAAGGCCTGGGCTACCTCCGTTTGCACATCCCGCAGGTGCTTCAGGTCGCTCTTGTTGCCCACGAGCATGATCACGATGTTGGCGTCTGCGTGGTCCCGCAACTCCTTGAGCCATCGCTCCACATTCTCAAATGTGACTGCAAGAGCGGGGAATGCTTAAGGTTGTCCGTAAGCCAGCACCGAACGGTCCCCAAAAGCAATAGTCAAAAACTGTAATCATCGACGCACCCGACTTTGTGATATCGTAAACCAGCAAAGCTCCCACTGCACCACGGTAATAGGCACTAGTAATAGCCCTGTAGCGCTCCTGCCCAGCTGTATCCCAAATTTGCGCCTTGATGGTCTTGCCGTCAACCTGTCAAACGAAAAGTTAGCTGTATATCTTCTTATTCCGTTAGCTGCATGACTGTGCCTGCCTGGATGCTGCGGGTCGCGAATTCCACGCCAATCGTGGACTTGGACTCGAGGCTGAACTCATTCCGCGTAAACCGCGAAAGGAGGTTCGACTTGCCCACACCCGAATCGCCGATCAAGACCACCTTGAAAAGGTAGTCGTAGCTGAAGGGCCAAAGTGCGCAACCAGTAAGCGATGTGGAAGAAACACCGAGGAGGTAGTGGCTCACTTACTCGTCGTCTTGCTTGTGGCTCATCTTTGTCTAGTAAGTACAGTTCAGAAGGAGGTTCCTATGTCGAGCGTATGAAAGAATTCTCAACACAGCTGTTGGGAAACAGTCTGCGTTGGCGACGAGCTGGTGAAGGTGCTACGGATGATAATTGCTGTTCAACATGCACAGCATTTATGCATAACTATAATGAGCGTACTACTCAGGAGTATCCTAAAGGCTAACGACTTCGGACAAGTTGGTTTGCTACGGTCGTACCACCAGCAACCCCCAAGCATTTTCACCAACCTAAAGCATCGAGCTGTTTCTCGCAGTAACGACGCCGTCGCAAGACATATAGTTTTACCTGAGTCCATAAAAGCTATGCCATCCATGCGGCACAAGGCGTCACGGCTACTCGAAAAGATACGGCAGGTTGTCAGTCTCATTCACCGGACCACCTCTCTTTCCCCACGCCCTGTTCCCCCTCAACACCTTATAGCCGCCGCTCTACGTACAGTAAAACACCCGCATTATCTGCGTCAGAACATAGCAAAAGCGACCAGCCATGCCGTTCCACTATCATTCCTCCTCCGCCATGGCTGCCTCCTTGAATGCAGTGTCGCTTTTTCTTACACAAAAGTCAACGCGTCATGCCAGCCGGAAGCTTCCCCCACGTGCCAGCCATCAAGCTACTTCACTTGCGCCGCGTTCGATGCCTCTATGGCGGCCAAAAGGGCCCCCTGTGGCGCCTCCGTAAACAGGGACGCCGGGTACACGGCACTGCCCCAAATGGGATGCAAAAGCACCTGCGGTTGCAAGAAAGAAATTCAACATAGGTTTGCGAAACCTGGCCACCCGCCCTTGTCAGGCAGGATTAAGGCCCGTACCCAACTGGGGGCAATTCCGTACCCAACCGGGCAATCGGCTGGAAACCCTTACACGCAAACACACCTTGCAGCATCCAGCATTCGCTGTCTGGTAGCCCATCAATATGCTGAGGGCGGGGACCTCTGGGTACACCGTATTGAGCTCCGTGTGTATCATCTGCGCACGTGCACCGGGGTGTTCGTTGTACTACATGCACGGAGATAATTGACGGAACGCGCATATGTAAATCGAGGAGAAGATTTTAACGACCCAATTTTATGTGAATAGTTTTTGTCAAGGTCTTACCGGTAAGCCAGAGCATGGATCGATGTAGTCCGCCCAGTGCCCGGCGGTTGTCAACTGGTCGCAAACCATTTTTGCCCAGGCCATAAACTGCGCATCATCAACACTGTTCGTTAAGAGCTTGGGTTAGGGTTAAACGGGAAAATTTCTCACCCTTTCGAGGAGACGGTCCTTCTCGTTCTCAACGTTCTCGCCCGTCTTGACAAGGTCGACCGTTGCATGCTGGCATGTGGGAACAATCAAAAGCTTGTCGATATTTGCACTTGGGAAAACTGTCAAAATCTCGCGTTTCATCGCCGGCGGGACGTCTGTGCATGCGGCAAGGAAAGTCGCTCATCAGCTATTGCAACGCCGTATCAACGCATTGGAACAATGAATTGACTGAACCGTACGGTGTATGCTGTATTCCATGTTCCATGGCGTCACGCCTTGCACTAGAGGTGCCATGGTCGTTACTGTGTTAGGCTCTGGTAGGCAGGCTCAACAATCAGAAAAAACACTCGACATGGGATTACTGTACATGCGCACTTTATTGAAACAACCCAAATGCTCTGTATATATCTTCACTTTGGCCGATTACTATTGTATGCGCTAACGGTCCTACAACCGCTTCAGGCAAGTCAGCTGTTCAGTTATCAGCTCCAAGCCCCCAAGTTCCAACTTCCAAGCTTCCAGCATGTACAGCCACCGTGCAAAGAAATTGCCCCTTCAAATGATATGCCACGTAGCAGCTTTGCGAGAGTAATAAACTGCGCAGGACTTATCCCTACACAGACACGTCCTTCCATCTATGAATCTATTACGGTAACCTCCAGTACCCCTGTATACCCTAGCGCTCTTCAGCACTCCCCCCGTTTCGCGCTTCAGTCCTGGCTGCTGCGGCTGGCGCACCTCCTATTCGCCGGACCAAACCCTTTCCCATGTTCCATTTGAAACACCTGCTGGCGGCAACCCCTCAGCCAGACATTATCCTCCGCCCACTCACCGCCATAATCATCCCAACCACCAGCGCCTCGTTTCCCAATTTCTTGTTCTTCCGATTGTGAAAATTTCAAATTTAGCAACATCTGCATCTTCTGTATTGGCTCCTATCTTTATTGCCCCTGTGCGCCTTATCCTGCACCTGCACTTATGCCCCTGCTCGTGTCTGCAGCTATTAACTCGTATCTTAAGGCCTTCTTACCTCTTGTACCCTGCTGCTGCATCGGTCTTTCCCCTGGTGTCGGGTAGGGTACGCAGCCGGGCCTTCACCTGCGCCACGACTTGGTAATTGAGAGGCAGCAGCCAGTGCGGCGCTCAGCGCCTTACCCTTCAAGACCCTCCCGTTGTCATGACTTTGTCACAGTACCACCCACCGCTCCAGGCGGCTCCAACAGCTGCTGCAAGGCGTCTTCTCCCTGCGCCCACCGGGTCGCAATGGTGGTGCTGGTGGCTACGTGGAAGATAGACAACGAGAAGGATGAAGGGTGGGGTAGGGGCGAGAGGTGGTACAGCCGGGCGCTTTCCTTGTGCCTACATGGCATCCTTCAGCACCATCCACCTCCTGCACGTCCATTGCCTGGAGGGTTACCGGCAGCGACTGCATGACCAAGAAATTGCCACGGACACCCTGTGGAGCACGGCTTTCTAGCACGGCTTCCCGGAGCCCGCCCGGGTTCCCACTCCATCTCTTCGCTGCGGCAGGACAAGTCCGCCTCCCTGCCATGAGGAGAGCGAATCGGTGCGAAAGAGGAACCGCTTCAAAGGGCGCTGCTTGCGGCTTAGCTTTTTGAAAGATGTGATTGCGCAGGTTGGGCATTTACATCGCCGTCGCAAGCCACACAGGGCAACAAGAGCCTGGTAATTGCGGCACCGACCCTGGTCTCCGTCTCTTTTGGATTCAACCTCCTTACCAAGATGCATTCATTCTGGTTCCTGGCATCTTTCAAGTGCTTTTAAAGTAAGGCACGAGACAACCAAACGGCTTCTTGCACATGCGGTGTACGCGGTTTCTTGCATCGCTTTATTGGAATCGAAAGGAAAGATTCCCAGGGCATAAGGGTGCAAGTCGCCGCCCCTTGACCCAGCTTTAACCCGCACACAAGTTTTGAACTACATGGCTCCGCTCCGTTTCACGTCCATCGCGGCCGGGATTAGCAGCATAGACCGTAGCAGGATATTTTAAATTTTTCCAGCGAGACACACTGACGTGCGTCTGCAAAGCAGGTTTACCAGTAATTACCATTCTGACGCACTGAAAGGAGCCAAATCACTCCAAAGTTATGCGCAAGGTAAATGAAAAGCTTCCGCTATATTGGTGAGGTGTCATGCCACTGCCTGCAGGGATCGTGGGCAATGGCAGGTCTTAGCGACGGGCTGTCGCTGTCGATTCGTACCCCTTGGAGTCTGTACGGTGGGCGAACCAACCAAAAATGCTCCAGACGAAACTACAACGTGTACTGGGGACTTAAGATTCTGCCAAGTTCTAAACAGAATAAGCGGATATTGTAAATGCGTGTTGCTGCGACGCAAATCGTTCCGTTGAACGCTTAACCAGTGTTAGCTCGCTTGCTGACGCGAAGACCGTGTTTTTACATAAGCTTGCGATACCTTATAGCCAAAATTTTACACCTACGCCCTTCGTCTGCTTCTGCAGCAGCGTCAAAGTCGCAGCGCAGGACGCCCGACATACGACCTCCCAGGATTTCCCGGAGGCAGTGGAAGCGTGCAGGGCCAATAAGAGGTGCAGTTGGGGCCAGGCAGGGCACCGCACAGCGCACTCCATCCCCCCGGGCGGCCAGCACAGCCCCTCCAAACAGACACCCCCATAGCTGCACCACCTGAATCCATCTGAATTGTATATGCCGAAGACAGTGGCGCCATTATCACCATTATCATCATCAGCAACAACAACAACAACAACAACAACAACAACAGCAGTGACGGTTGAACCTGTGTAATGACGGGCAGCAGCCGCGGTGGCAGAGGGGGGCCGCAATCCCGCAGCAAGGCACCGGGGTCGGGGAGAGGCCCCGGCGGCGGCGGCGCCGTAGGTGGGCTTGCCCGTACAGCATCATCGTCAGCGGCAGCGGGTACGGCAGCAGCCATCGCAACATCGGATGCTGCTGCTGGCGGTGATGGAGGTGGTGGCGGTGGCGGTGGTGCGCCTGCTGGGGCCCCTGGAGCACTGGCGACGCTGAAGAGCCTCTCCTCGGAGGTTAGTCCCTAACCCCACCTTTCACCGCACTACACTAAACATAATGTGGAGGAGATGTCTGGGGTCGAATGGGGCGGGGAAGAAGGTGGAGGAGGAGAAGTCCTGCGCCCTGTTTGGAGGCAATAGGCCCTTGGGGAACATTCCTACATTGGAAGACCCCCTAGCTTTGAAACGCGGGGGCCCCCGGCTACGTATTAGGCAGGAGGCACGCTGGATCTCGGCAGGCTGTCGGAGCTCTCCCCCTGGCGGACCCCCGCAGGCGGACATCCCCCCCCCGCCCCCAACCACCCCCAAGCCCACAACCCCCGGCAGCGACTCTTTCACCTTTTGCATATAACTGGGTCTCTCCTGGGGCGCTGATAGGGCGGGACGTATTTCTGGTCGTGACCGGTCGCTGCGATCTTAACCCTTCCCCCCTACCCCCCGCCACCCTCACTTTCCCCTTCTGTTACGCCGGGGCGGTGGTAGTGGTGCTGATGTTGGTGCTGATGTTGGTGCTGATGTTGGTTTTGATGTTGCTGTTGTTGATGCTGTTATTGTTAATGCTGCTGCAGAGGCACACAGGCAACCGGAGCGGTCCCAGCCGAGTGCTGCTGTACGGCCAAGGAACTGCTACAGCCGCCACCGCAACCTCGTCCGCCTCTTCTGCCGGTGAGGCAGTAGCACCGCGGCAGGTTGCGACTGCTACTGTTGCTGCGGCTGCTGCTGGTTGTGGTGGCAGTCGTATTGTTGCTATTGCTACTGCTACTGCTGCTCCCACATCCACCGCGTATGCGGGTCAGCCCCATCCCGCCCCCCTACACACCTCACCGTATTGTTACCCTCCTCACCCTCCTCACCCTCCTCACCCTCCTCACCATCCCCCTGCTCACCCCCACGCAGCTCCCCCCCTCCCCTCCCCCTCCCCCGCCTCCCCCTCCCCCTCCCCTTCCTGGGCGGTGTCCGCGGAGTCTCTGAGCCTGATGGACGCCGGTTGGGGTTTCCAGTGCTCGGGGGCGGCCAAGGTGAGGGGGAGGGGGCCATGTGGCGGCGGAGGGGGGGGCCGATGATGATATGATAATGATGATGATGGCGATGATGATGGCGGTGATGGGTCTTGATGTGGTTGGAAGGCTTTGGTGAGGGAGGGGGAAGTGGGGGGATGAGTGGGGGCGGGGATGAACGTGAGCAGAGGGGTAATCAAGGAGCTTGTTAGTTGTTTTGGGTGGGTTGGTCTGGTCAGGTGAATAGGTGGGTGCGTTGGTCCTGTGCGTTAGGAGGAGGGGGAGGAGGGGGAGGAGCTGCCGTACAGTCGCCCCCTTCCTTCCATTCCCCCATCTCTCCCCTCCGCCACACACACCACACATACACACGACGGGCGCCCTCTCCATCTCACGACTCGCAGCAACCCTAAGACAGCTCGGGCGCTTGGGACGTCTGCTCTTGGCAACCATTATTTTTGCGTTTGTGTCTGTATTTCACATACAAGACACACACACACATATCGACCCCGCGCGCCCCTCTCCCGTCCGCGGGAGAGAGCTTCGGCGGTCTTTCCGTTGGGTCTGGGCAGCAGCCCCTGGCCAGCCAGTGTCAGGCCCGGTCAGATACATGTAACCTCCACACACATACATACACATGAATACACACACATACATACACACGCACAACCCAAACCCAGGTTCTCTCTGACCGAGGTGGCGGCGACTTCCGGGCGATCGGGGTGTTGGGCAGCCAAGGCGCCGCCAAGTCGGCGTTACTCAACGCATTGCTGTACGACACCGGCCAACGGGGGCCAGCGACCGTCCGCGCCGCCGCCGCCGCCTCTGTAGCTAGCACTGGCGGCGTCATGACCTCTCCCCCCTCCGCTTGTTTTCCCGGCGGCGCGATGCCCCCCTTTCCCGTGTCGGACTCGCCAGGTCACGTGTCTCACTGCACCTCCCGACTGCAGCTGAGGGTGCGTGTGTATGCACGTGTGTATGTATGTATGTATGTATGTATGTATGTATGTATGTATGTATGTATGTATGTATGTATGTATGTATGTATGTATGTATGTATGTATGTATGTATGTATGTGTGACTTGTGTGGTTAGTAACGAAATAGACGAGTGGCCATTATGTTCGTTGCAGGATGTGCGTGGGGTGTTGGGTTTGGTTGGGAGGGCACGAGACGGGAACCCGCCGTGGGCCATTCCATGGGCGGTTAATAGGCTGCATATATCGTACTGCCGTACTCTTCGCTATGTCGTACACACCTCTCCCTGTACTTCCCCGCGGTGATATCCCTGTCAAGTTTCTGTGTTTTCTATTTTCAAATCCCCACACGCGCACGTCCTCCCCCCCCCCCCGGCAGGTGCATCCGGGGGACCGCACTCTGCTGCTAGACTCCCCACCGTTGTGGAGCGCCAGCTGGACGTCAGAACTCGCAGTACGGATTATCGCGTCGTACATTCGTCGTACATCCATACGCTGTACACGGAACGAAGTTGTTGATAGCACAGCGGCTAACCGCCAGCCGCTCTGTATGTGTGTGCGAGCGCGCGCGCGTGAGTGTGTGTGTGTGTGTGTGTGCGTGTGTGTTTATGTGGCTTTTTGTTTTCCATTCGCACCGTCCGTCACTGCATTTCCCCCCGCGTTTCACAACCGCTCGGTTTCTAATCCATGATCTCTTTCCGACTCCCCGCGTCTGGTGGCTTCATGCCTCCCCATTCCCCCCACTTCGCGTGTTTCACCCCGCCCCGCCCTTCCCCCGGCCGTCAACAGTCCAATCCGGAGCCGCCGTTGCTACGCGGTACGACAGGCAACGGAAATACCATAATGTCTCGGGCCATTGGTGAGCGGAGCAGGCTCGGACAGCGTGCCGTACATCCGGATACGTGTGGACATATTGCGGACGCACATCTCGTGCTGATGTGCGGTGCTATTTCGTGCCATGCCGCGCGCTGTCGTTTTTGACCTGAGATGCGTCCGCCCTGGCTCCTCCTCCCCTGGCCCAGTGGTTCGTCTTAACCCCCCGCACTGCCTCCCCTCCCCACTGCCCCGCCCATTTCGGGTCTGTAGCGGATTGCCGTTCTCGCGGACGCGGCTGCCTTCCCTTGGAGGCGGTTTCGGAGCTTCTCGGGCTGCAAATGGGGGCCATGCTGCTGCTGGCGTGTCACGTGGTGAGTGGGTGGGTGGGTGGGGGCCGGTTCCCCCTCCGCCGGTCCGCGCGACAGCATGGAATACATCTTCCCGGCCTTGGTGGTGATGACGGCGTGTCTGATCACGGTTGGCATTGTCCCCTTTAATTTGGGGGGGGGCAGTGTCTGGGGAGGGTCCCCAGATGGGGGCTGGGACCATGGGGTTGGGATGGGGGGGCGTTGGGTGGGGTGGGGTGGGGTGGGGGGATCGGGGTGCGGATTCTGTAATGTCTCACACATTTGGTTGGATGTGGGGACCTGACTTTTGCGATACTCTTTAATAGTTACGTTGGCGTTATCCACTTAACACAACAAAACACACGAGCACGCACGCACGATCGCACATCAAGAATGAGGTCACACACCTATGTGTGTGTGCTACTGTGTCTGTTCGTGAACTTTTGGCAGTTGGTTCTTTTTGCTTTCTTGCTTGTCGTCCTGATTCCCTGACTCTCGCACATGAATTTATACACATCAATCATATAAAGCTATCTGGACGTTCTTGTACGGCGGTACGGCAGGTTGTCCTCATGGTGGATGGTGTGGACGAACCCCACCTATGGGAATATCTGCAGGTGAGGTGAGGTGCAGTCGGGGGGAGGGGGAAGGGGGGAGGGGGGAGGGGGAAGGGGGGAGGGGGAAGGGGGGAGGGAGAGAAAGCAGCTTTTGCAATTTTGCTTTAGCGGGGAGGGAAAAAGGGGGAGGCGGAGGAAGGAGGAGTCGTTTGCTGTTTTAGTGGAATTTGCGTTTCCGGTTGGGGCTCCTGTTCGACTTCATATTTTACATTCGACGTTATGTTATCACTCCACTTTGTTATGGTTTCACCTTGAATCGTGGGTTGGTTTGGCGACGGCTGCGCCGTGTGCCAACTGCGGTCGTTGTTGGTCATCTGCAACATGGCCTGAGCCTCGTTTGCTCGCTTGAGGTGATGGAATTAGCTTACCTAATGCCAACCACCACCTAACCACCCAACTAACGGCCCTCCCGCCCAGTTGAGAGAGCCCCTCAATGCGCCGCTACACACACATTCCCAACCCACATTTCGGTCCAATTCACAATCCTCAACTACCTCAACTACCTCAACCGTCTCAACGACAAGGTTCTATCCGCAGAAAGGTCCACAATATCTGCAGCCGGAGATGATATGACCAAACGCACACACGAAACCCTGGAGCGAATCCCCTGCCGCGCTCCTCATCCCCCCCAGAGCTGCACGCCAAACCCCAACCATTCTTCCCCTCCCCCCTCCTTAACTCGCACGTCAGGTTATCGACCACATCGCACACTGCCTGCCGGACGTCGGAACCGCAGCAGCATCGGCGGCGGCGGCGGCAGCAGCATCCGGGGCCACACAGACCCATGGGACAGCTGCCGTACCCGCCACGACAGCGTGGACCGGCATGGGGCCCAGCGCCGGCGCCGGTGGCTTCCTCTGTGTGGGTCCGCGGGTTACCGGCGCCTCGGTTGGTCCCATCCTTGGAAAGAGGGGGGGTGTAATTGGATTGATTGGGGTAGTTGGACCTTGTTGGGGCTTGTTCTGCGACACATTTGCTAGTGTGTGAATGCCAACGTTATATATACACATAGTATATGTGCCGTAACGTAATGCCCTTACTTACATTGCCCTTCATACGCACACGCATACTCGTATTTGCACTCGCACTACATTCGTACTCGTACTACATTCGTACACATCCCCAGGAGTTCCGTGGTCCGCGGCGCGTGGCGGAGCTGGTGGTGGTGCGGACGGGGCTGTACGACGACCAATTGACTGTACGGCACCTACGCCCCCAGGCCGCGCTGCTCCGACTGGCTCTCTCCTCCACCCGGCTGTTGTCATCAGCGCCACCGCGAGGGGCAAGTGGTGAGCGCGTGTGTGTACATATGTATGA